GGGCTCTTAGTAACCAATCTATTCTTTGTCTTCTACTTGTATTAGAATTATTGGCATCACGTTCATGTCCAAGTTTTGCAACACTATTGGATGTGCTTCTATGCAAGCCAAATTATAGGACTCCTATGAATGTTATTCTTGCATCATCAAGCAGTGTATCGTTAAGAGGCATTATGTATTCAAATCTTTACAAAAGTATCTTCACTTGCCTTTGAGNAGGACTCCTATGAATGTTATTCTTGCATCATCAAGCAGTGTATCGTTAAGAGGCATTATGTATTCAAATCTTTACAAAAGTATCTTCACTTGCCTTTGAGTTTGTCAGGAGGTCAAAAATTCCCTTGACTTTTTATTTCAATAAAATATATGCCTTTCCAGTAAGAATCTTTGACATTGTCTAAATCGAAAAATGCAAACAGAAAATAAAACAACTTAAAGTCTAGATTTTTTNAGTTTGTCAGGAGGTCAAAAATTCCCTTGACTTTTTATTTCAATAAAATATATGCCTCTCCAGTAAGAATCTTTGACATTGTCTAAATCGAAAAATGCAAACAGAAAATAAAACAACTTAAAGTCTAGATTTTTTGGTTGCTTTATGTAATGTTTGCATTTCAATAAAATTAGATGACAAGCATCAAAAGCAAAGAAAAAAAGAAACTTACTCAAAGCTTCCAATGGAGTTTCTATTAAATTTGTGAGAATCCAACATGCAATAACATAAACTATAGAACCAAAGAAGCAATTGAAATTTTATGAAGTAGGAATGGGAAGCATCAATTTGGCATGTTGCATAGTGTGAGATGGTTTCTAGAAGATTAAGGAAAGAGATTCTATAAAAATTGATGAAGTGAAGACTTTTTAGTCAATTAGCTCACAGAAATCATGCATACAAATTACCTTAGAGCAATCCAAATTTCTAAAAAGTTGCATGAACATCATTGTTTAAGTACAATGGTCTCTTATTTTGGCTGAAAATTAAAAGCAAAGGGCACTATTGGCATTGACGGAGACAATAGTGGGCCCTGGGGGGCATGGGCCCAACTTGAAAAAATTATTACCTATATATTTCAAATAATTTTTGTATATTTTTATGATGTCCACCCTATTATTTTCTTATTCTATCAAGTAATATAGACCAATGTATAATAATTATTATGAACTCTTCAACACACTTTGAACAATATAAATACACATCAAGATAAGTTTTTTGCATGCTGAATTCATTTTTTTTAAGTTATGAAAATTGTGAGGACTAAGTTGTGTAACTAAAAGAGTGATTTGATCGTTTATATAGAGAAAAAAATTCTCTATAGTATTAATAATGAAGTTATCATTCAACACTTTTAAAATATGAAAATTCATTGGGATTAATTATAGATGATTGGAATTAGTCTTTTTGTTGTTGTTGTTTTTCTTTGTATACACTATATGTATATCAACGTTGGACCAGGCGTTTTGTATCTATTAAATCTGGTATTTAATATAATGTACTAAGCTTTAATGTGTTGTGTCACTTTTATTTGGTGGAAGAAAAAAAATTAAATTTCTAGCTAAAGGGCACATGCGGAATAAAAATTCTAACTCCATTCCTAACTATTGGATTGTCCTAAATTAACTTATCTTGAATCAACTTATTGTCTTCACTAAGTTCATGTTCCATTTTGCACTTAGTAGACATTGATAGAAAGAGACATGCCTTCCCCTACCTGCCCAAAAAAAAAACAAACAAACAAACACACATATGCAGCATTATGGTTCTATACTCTTTCATACTAAAAATAGTTTCAATGAAAAAATTCTTTTATCATATTTAAAAAAAAATGGTGATTGATTGACTAGTCGGCCACATTTATAGGCTAGCCAACCAGCTCTAACACATAACCTAGAGTTCTATTTTTGTTTCATCTCAAACTCACTCTAAAACCATAAAAACTTGTACTAATTGTCAAACAAATAATCTTAATCCATCACCGTAATTTGAAACATAAGGTTTTCTCATATAGAATGCTTGAAAGCTTGCGTAATTCCTATTAATAGATAACTACCTATCTATTGATTCTAACAACCAGTGCACATGCTTTTATACACTTTAGCTATAAAACTTTTTGATTTAACATTGTTTGTTACCAGTGATTGAAGCCTACCTCAATTCCCAGCTTTTTTTTTTTTTTGAAGTAAACCTTGACGGTGCGAGGGAATTTATTGATTAAAAAATTAAATTACATGTATTTAGGGGTACGTATATACCTTATCTATCGATGCAATCTAATTACAATTTAAAAAGAATTAAGAAAATTCTAATGCATGAATTACATGGAAATATTAAAGTTATTCTTGAAAGACTAATTTCCTATAATGAATCTAACCAATGTTGCCCATTGCAAATCCAGTTGAAGTGTAAGCCAGCTGAAACAGTCACGTGAACATTGACGTGAACAGTGACTGTTTCAGCTGCTGTCTCTAATTGAGGAGTACAGCCGGAAAAAAGAGCAGTAGGTTGCAATCACGAACAGAGCTAAGATTGAGAGTGTTGGCAGCTGACCGAAAGAATGAGCTAGGAGTATTGATAAGGTAAGAGACAAAGCCTTGAGCACGAGCTGAGAAGAATAGCGAGCTGAGGAATTTGAGTTGGAAGTATTTTAATTAAATGCTGGGTCAGATAAGGTATCTGAGTAGACGCCTGATGGAGAGTAATTGAACCGCCAAATGATAAGAGAACTCAGGAACCATTGATAAGGCATCTGCACCTAGGAAACTGGAAAGACTTTGGCAAAGGACCCCCTGGAGACTTGTAAATGGTCTTCAGAAAAGTGTCTGAGAGCAAAATGGAGAAATCCTCTCCCCCAAAACTCAAGGCAAAGAAGATGAATATCCAGCTGGTGTTCCAAGTTGAAGTCAGCGATAGAGCTGCCATCCTCTTCCAGCAGAGACGAAAAGAGAAGAGCCTCAACGACTGATACGTGGAGAAGAAGACAAACACGTAAGTAAACCTTCAATATTCTTTCCTTCTTACTTCTGGAGAGATTTGAACGAGCTTGTAATAAACTATGGATTGTAATAAACTCTCCCCCTTCTAAGAGAAACCATGGACTGTATAATTGGACAGTTGAATTGTTTTGTGGTATTTGGATGATTGGCCATACATTCCTCTTCTACTTGTGTTGACATTGGATGAATAAGCATGAATATCTTTGCTCTATATGCATGCTGTATAGATAGAACTCCTCGCCTCTTCTTCTGTATGAGATCTAAATTCAAATGCCTGAGTAGCATAAGAATTAAGACCAATTGTCTTCTTAAAAGATACCAATCCATTCGCCTGAAAAAATGTAGATGCTATAAAGTAGATGATTTCAACCTTGAAGCTTTAACCGTAGAACGCAGAGACCTAATCTGTCTCTGATCCTGCCATAGCAGTTGCTTGGTTTGGATAGGTNATACACATCAAGATAAGTTTTTTGCATGCTGAATTCATTTTTTTTAAGTTATGAAAATTGTGAGGACTAAGTTGTGTAACTAAAAGAGTGATTTGATCGTTTATATAGAGAAAAAAATTCTCTATAGTATTAATAATGAAGTTATCATTCAACACTTTTAAAATATGAAAATTCATTGGGATTAATTATAGATGATTGGAATTAGTCTTTTTGTTGTTGTTGTTTTTCTTTGTATACACTATATGTATATCAACGTTGGACCAGGCGTTTTGTATCTATTAAATCTGGTATTTAATATAATGTACTAAGCTTTAATGTGTTGTGTCACTTTTATTTGGTGGAAGAAAAAAAATTAAATTTCTAGCTAAAGGGCACATGCGGAATAAAAATTCTAACTCCATTCCTAACTATTGGATTGTCCTAAATTAACTTATCTTGAATCAACTTATTGTCTTCACTAAGTTCATGTTCCATTTTGCACTTAGTAGACATTGATAGAAAGAGACATGCCTTCCCCTACCTGCCCAAAAAAAAAACAAACAAACAAACACACATATGCAGCATTATGGTTCTATACTCTTTCATACTAAAAATAGTTTCAATGAAAAAATTCTTTTATCATATTTAAAAAAAAATGGTGATTGATTGACTAGTCGGCCACATTTATAGGCTAGCCAACCAGCTCTAACACATAACCTAGAGTTCTATTTTTGTTTCATCTCAAACTCACTCTAAAACCATAAAAACTTGTACTAATTGTCAAACAAATAATCTTAATCCATCACCGTAATTTGAAACATAAGGTTTTCTCATATAGAATGCTTGAAAGCTTGCGTAATTCCTATTAATTGATAACTACCTATCTATTGATTCTAACAACCAGTGCACATGCTTTTATACACTTTAGCTATAAAACTTTTTGATTTAACATTGTTTGTTACCAGTGATTGAAGCCTACCTCAATTCCCAGCTTTTTTTTTTTTTTTTTTGAAGTAAACCTTGACGGTGCGAGGGAATTTATTGATTAAAAAATTAAATTACATGTATTTAGGGGTACGTATATACCTTATCTATCGATGCAATCTAATTACAATTTAAAAAGAATTAAGAAAATTCTAATGCATGAATTGCATGGAAATATTAAAGTTATTCTTGAAAGACTAATTTCCTATAATGAATCTAACCAATGTTGCCCATTGCAAATCCAGTTGAAGTGTAAGCCAGCTGAAACAGTCACGTGAACATTGACGTGAACAGTGACTGTTTCAGCTGCTGTCTCTAATTGAGGAGTACAGCCGGAAAAAAGAGCAGTAGGTTGCAATCACGAACAGAGCTAAGATTGAGAGTGTTGGCAGCTGACCGAAAGAATGAGCTAGGAGTATTGATAAGGTAAGAGACAAAGCCTTGAGCACGAGCTGAGAAGAATAGCGAGCTGAGGAATTTGAGTTGGAAGTATTTTAATTAAATGCTGGGTCAGATAAGGTATCTGAGTAGACGCCTGATGGAGTAATTGAACCGCCAAATGATAAGAGAACTCAGGAACCATTGATAAGGCATCTGCACCTAGGAAACTGGAAAGACTTTGGCAAAGGACCCCCTGGAGACTTGTAAATGGTCTTCAGAAAAGTGTCTGAGAGCAAAATGGAGAAATCCTCTCCCCCAAAACTCAAGGCAAAGAAGATGAATATCCAGCTGGTGTTCCAAGTTGAAGTCAGCGATAGAGCTGCCATCCTCTTCCAGCAGAGACGAAAAGAGAAGAGCCTCAACGACTGATACGTGGAGAAGAAGACAAACACGTAAGTAAACCTTCAATATTCTTTCCTTCTTACTTCTGGAGAGATTTGAACGAGCTTGTAATAAACTATGGACTGTAATAAACTCTCCCCCTTCTAAGAGAAACCATGGACTGTATAATTGGACAGTTGAATTGTTTTGTGGTATTTGGATGATTGGCCATACATTCCTCTTCTACTTGTGTTGACATTGGATGAATAAGCATGAATATCTTTGCTCTATATGCATGCTGTATAGATAGAACTCCTCGCCTCTTCTTCTGTATGAGATCTAAATTCAAATGCCTGAGTAGCATAAGAATTAAGACCAATTGTCTTCTTAAAAGATACCAATCCATTCGCCTGAAAAAATGTAGATGCTATAAAGTAGATGATTTCAACCTTGAAGCTTTAACCGTAGAACGCAGAGACCTAATCTGTCTCTGATCCTGCCATAGCAGTTGCTTGGTTTGGATAGGTAATGTTGCAGATGATGAGTAGGTCACAGAAGCCCTGTTTTGAACACCAATAGTCGCCAATGAGTCAGCCACAGTGTTACTCTCTCTATATGAATGCTGGATCTGAAAATCAAAAAATTCAAGCAAAGAAAAGATTTGATAAGAAGTATTCCAGTGTCTCCAACTAGGCAAATTTCTCTGTTTAACCATGTCCACAAGCACCTGGGAATCACTTTCAATAGTAAGTGGATAGACCTCCAAACCAAAATCTTTTAACAAATGCAAACCATCAAGCAAAGACCTCAGTTCAGCTTCCATATTAGTACAAACTCCATGCTTTTACTCTTTGAAAGTTTCACTTCCAAATTTACCTTGTAAAGATGCAATCAAAAGAGAAACTTAAGTTTAAAATGGTAAATGTTTCATACTAGAAAGACGTGAAATTTTCTTTTAAAATGTACAACTGGTTTTTATTCTAATGTATGCTAATAAGTTTTTATCAAGTTACCTTACCTACTTAATTGCTTGGNAAGACACATCAAGATAAGTTTTTTGCATGCTGAATTCATTTTTTTTAAGTTATGAAAATTGCGAGGACTAAGTTGTGTAACTAAAAGAGTGATTTGATCATTTATATAGAGAAAAAAATTCTCTATAGTATTAATAATGAAGTTATCATTCAACACTTTTAAAATATGAAAATTCATTGGGATTAATTATAGATGATTGGAATTAGTCTTTTTGTTGTTGTTGTTTTTCTTTGTATACACTATATGTATATCAACGTTGGACCAGGCGTTTTGTATCTATTAAATCTGGTATTTAATATAATGTACTAAGTTTTAATGTGTTGTGTCACTTTTATTTGGTGGAAGAAAAAAATTAAATTTCTAGCTAAAGGGCACATGCGGAATAAAAATTCTAACTCCATTCCTAACTGTTGGATTGTCCTAAATTAACTTATCTTGAATCAACTTATTGTCTTCACTAAGTTCANGGCGTTTTGTATCTATTAAATCTGGTATTTAATATAATGTACTAAGCTTTAATGTGTTGTGTCACTTTTATTTGGTGGAAGAAAAAAAATTAAATTTCTAGCTAAAGGGCACATGCGGAATAAAAATTCTAACTCCATTCCTAACTATTGGATTGTCCTAAATTAACTTATCTTGAATCAACTTATTGTCTTCACTAAGTTCATGTTCCATTTTGCACTTAGTAGACATTGATAGAAAGAGACATGCCTTCCCCTACCTGCCCAAAAAAAAAACAAACAAACAAANGACAATGGCTCAAACCCCATAACTGTTTAGGAAAAATAGCACTTTAAACTCCAAAAGTTTTTAGATGCTTTAATGCATGGCCAGGNGCCAATGACTCAAACCCCATAACTGTTTGGGAAAAATAGCACTTTAAACTCCAAAAGTTTTTAGATGCTTTAATGCATGGCCAGGTTTGACAATAAAAGAGCTTGCAAAGTGCAATTATGAAATTTTCCATAACCTTTCCTCCAATAGAGAGGAAGAGTGAGAATGAAAGCCAAATTATAGGACTTCTCTGAATGAATTTCATGCATTATCAGATATTTCATGTTTAAAAGTTATTTCTAGATCTCTACAAGAATATCACCAATTGAACATTATTGGACATCATTAGTTAGATATTACAAGTTTTATAAAGTTTGATTTTCTTTATAAAGCTTTTTTGGTATTGACAACAAAGATATGTTGACAATTAAAATTTAAAAATAGAAATATTCACTACAGTAAACATAAAAAAGAGCAATCCAGACAAACTTAACTGGACAAAACTTTATAAAAAGACCTCTCTACTTAAATTCGTTTTGCATTAGGTAAACAACAAGCCAATCAAGCATGGTCATATATTTTTTATTATCATACACCTAATTTACACCATGTGTAAATATCTAGTTCCAACAGTTACTGGAACGACACACACACATCATGTGCTCCCCAACCTCGAGTATTTGAAACAAATAGACATGTATAAAAAACACATATGTACAACTCAATAATATTAATTTATTTGTGCTTAGAACCACAAAAGAATACAAAATATGATTGCTACATTTGTAAAATTACCAAAGCTACCTCTAAATCTGTTCCAACAATCTCAAAGTTATTGCATTTTTGATAAGAAGTGTCACTGGTTAACGTTGGGCATCAATAATTCTTATGGAGAAACCGAGTCATATACTCCAATGGATAATGATTATAGTGATCACATATTATTAAAAAAAATTACATAAAACATATTTGGAGATTTAATTTCATTCATCTGGGGGGATAAAACATCATGTTAAAGACCAGTATGAAGGCCATTACTATGCTAACAAGAATTTTCACGGTAAAAAATGTCCATCAAGAAGTATTAAAGTTAAATCTACAAGGTAATTGAGAGAGTACCGATGCCCCATCATTTAGTCGATCAAGAGCTTTGTTCATGTGCTCTTGTTATATTCCAGCGCTCCTGGTACGAAGTTGTGCAGGAAAATGCATACACAATTTCCCTACAATATGAGAACAGTGTTCGTTTTCTATAGACTGAAATAGGGGTTTTTGATGAACAATCAATTGGAGTTTGATCCTTTGCATGTGGCTGCTAATCTGGGTCATCAATGTAATGAATTTTGGATTTAGCTTCCTTTCATAGTAAATACTTCTCTGCATGAATTGAATTTAACAGTTACAGTCTACAGAAGTCACTTTTAATTTTGTTATGAGACTTAACAAGCTTTATCACTGCCCGTATTACTTTGGGAATATAGAGAGAATGAAAAAACCAATTCCTTCAATTCTCATCTCTCCTCTAACGTTTCAGTTCTCATTCTGCACCTCAAAGCCAACTGGTGAAATGAAAAGTTTGTTCTGAGATGACATCTGAAGGGGTGAAGACAACAATAATAATTATTCAAGTTTAATTTAATTAATTTTGGATCAAGGATAGAAGTGTGCTAATTGAATTATTTGAGGATAAAAAGAGAAAGTAAATGTTTTTCAAAGAGAGTGACATTTAGAAGTAGTATAGATATAGATTTTGGATCAAGGATAGAAGTGTGCTAATTGAATTCTTTGAGGGTAAAAAGGGAAAGTAAATGTTTTTCAAAGATAGTGACATTTAGAAGTAGTATAGATATAGATATAGATATATATAGATAGTATAGATATAGATATAGATAGATAGATGGATATACTTCTTGTGAGCCTGACTACCGTGAATGTCACTTCAACAGAGGATGAATCTGAAACAATGTGAAGTAGGGCATATGAGAAGGCAGCTGATAAGGCAGCCGCCTTAGTAATAAGTCAGCTGAAGAGGCATTTGATATGTTATCATACTGATAAGACTGGGGAACTGAATAGGTTGGATAGCATGTTACTCTTATTGAAAGGCCAAATAGCCTTTCTAGGAATTCCAAAAGACTAAAACATATTCTGTGATATGCAGAGGCCTCAGAGAAATGTTGAAACGTCTGAGTCTTGAGCCAAGGTCTCTGCATAAATGAGAGAGAACCTCTGCAACGCCAAAGTTTGAAGGAGATCCATTGAAAGAGCCTGTGTTCTAAAAGACAGTCATAGNAGTGAGAGAGAAACTCTGCAAAGCCAAAGTTTGAAGGAGATCCATTGAAAGAGCCTGTGTTCTAAAAGACAGTCATAGAAAGTGCTCTTCTGAGAAAAAGATCCCTGAGAGAAGCTTCCAGAGAAGATGAATATCCAGAGATCATGAAGATGAATATCCAGCCCACTCAACCGAATCAAAAGATATCCAATACAAAGGATCCCTAGAAGCAATGGGAGACATATGAAATGCAAGAAGACCAATACAGAAATCCAACCGATGAATATAAGTATCCAGCTTTTGATCAGAAGGGATATGATCAAACAAATGGAGAGTATCCAGCAGTAGAGAAGCCCAGATCCAAGAGAATGAATACAAATACAAGAAATTGCTTTACNTTTGATCAAACAAATGGAAAGTATCCGGCAGTAGAGAAGCCCAGATCCAAGAGAATGAATACAAATACAAGAAATTGCTTTACCAAAAGCCCCTGAACAAAGCACCATATCATTGAATGTGGGCATGTTGCCTGGCAGCAGATGAACCTCGAGCAAGAAAATTAGAAAACCATGACAAAGAATCTGAAGAGTCAGAAGACCAAAAGGTTTGGAGGTGAAGACCACTGAACAAAGAACTATAGAAGACTTCACAAGAAGAACTATCCCTCACTTCTTCTTTTTCTGACTTCCATGGAGAAAAGTGGAGTAATCTCAGAAGAGCATAAGAGGTATTTACCATACCCTCTTGAAAATATGTATGTGATGAGCATGAGAAATCTATGTAGTTGCTGTACATGAGCATGAGCAATTCTGTAACTGCTTTTGTCTTTATAAGATCCGCTTGAAGTGCTTAAGTTATATATGTTTCTTGCGTCTTGCTGCGTAAGAAGTTTGTTATAGGTTGGAAGATCTCTTGTAGAGCCGTAGATAAAAGAATCTCTATCTGTAACCCCCTTTTTTTTTTTTTTTTTTAACAAATCAACATTTTATTTCATTGCTCAAAAATGAATTACAACAGAAAAATAGGCAGACAGATCATGCCTTATTCTCAATCCAATCAAAAGAGAAAGACAAAATACAATAGTCAAAGAACAACAATTTTCTTCCTCAACTTCTGCAGTCCTCGTTGATCCTGAATCAGCAGCAGTTTGGCATGCAAAGGGATTCTGAGATCCTGAGAAAAATCTGTGGAGAAGCCATCCCTTACTGCCTGGTTTTCAAAAAAATCAGCTAAGCAATTTGCTTCTCTATAAACATGGGTCATTCTGAATTTCAGCCTTCCCAACACATCCATTATCTCATCAAATAATCTCCAAAATTTCCATGCCCTCAAATGCCCCTTCATTACCAATTGAACAATGACAGCAGAATCAGCTTCAATTTGAAGCTGATACTCCGAAAGTCCATATCTTTCGAATAATATCAAACCATCCCTCAAGGCCCTAAGCTCCGCCTCCATATTCAAACATACCTCATAGAAAAAAGGGGCAGCAAGTACAATATGCCCCCATTCATTTCTAACAAAAGCCCCTCCCCCAGCTCTCCCTGGATTTCCTTTAGCTGCCCCATCCACATTTAGTTTCAAATATCCAGCAGCTGGAGGTTTTAGCTCGCCCAAATTGCATTGATCTGAACTTTAGCACACCTCTCCACTTTCAAACTCTGTAATAGCCCTTGCCCAAGCAGATTCTCCTTCACTCTTGGCTTCACACCATAAGCCTGCAAACGCATACTCGAACAGATTTTTAGAAAAACAGCATGAGCATTCAACAGTCCCTCACCATCAACTCTTGTACATCTCTCCCTCCATAAATGCCAGAAAACAAAGAAAGTGATACTTTCAATCAAGCTTTGACTTAAAGACTGTTTTCTATAAATCCTCACTAACCTCATCAGTCTAACCATAGGGGATTCAGAATCAACTAACTGAAATCCACATAAAGGCAGATATTTTCCTCCAAATAAAAACAGAGTATTCACATTGAATAAACACATGCTCTACCGATTCCACTGCATGGCCACATAACACACATTTACTTGCCAACATAACCCCAATCCTTTGAAAATTCGAATCAACCAACACAGCATTCTTATATATCTTCCAACTCAAATGCCTTGCACTAGGACTAGCAGACTGCTTCCAAATAACTGAAGCAACTCTGTCTATTTCCACAGAATTCCTCACCCTCTGCCAAGCAGATTTTACTGTAAATTCACCAGAATCAGTCAATTTCCATATTAGCCTATCCATTTTATCAGAAAGAAAAACACCAGATTCCAGAATCTCCTGCTTCATACTTTCTGAAATCAGATCCCCTAGCTTATGCCACTGCCAGACTGCCCCTTCCAGCACTTCTGAGAGCAAAGGAAAACTCTCTGGAACTCCCTCAATTCTACTCAATAAAGGACCAGTACCCAACCAGTTCAAACACCAGAAATCCACAGCCTCACCATTCCCCACAATGCTGTGTATTATTAATCACAGAAAGAAAAAAAGGCTGTAGCATTCTAAAAGATTTAGCTTTACCCGTACTTGCACTTCTCAACATATGTTGTCCCTTTAAAAACTTCTTTGAGAAAACCTTCGCCCAAAGAGATTTTCCCTGAAGGATTCCCCACACCTGCTTCATTCTAAAGGCCACCTGGACATCCCCAAATTTTCTAATCCCCAAACCCCCTTCCTGCAAAGGCCTTGAAATATTTACCCATGAGACCCACTGTCTCCTTCTGCTACCTTCTTTTCCTGACCAAACAAAAGATGCCATATAAGAGTTTAATTTGACAAGGATCCCCCTTTGGCAAATTAATGCATGACAGCAAATGAACAGGTACGGCATTCAACACAGACTGTACTAGCACTAATCTGCCCATATGCGATAGTAACTTTGCATACCAACCTGCTAATTTAACTTTAAACTTTGACACAATATCTTCAAAATCTCTCAATCTACACCTTGCCCTGATTAATGGACAACCCAGATATGTAAAGGGGCAATTCTTAACCGGAATCTGGGCAGTCCTAGATAAAACCACCCTCCTAGCTTGAGAGATCCTGGAAAAGCAGATTAGCGAACTTTTCTGCTTACTCACCCACTGCCCAGAACATCCCTCATACTTGGCCAAAAAAACCATCAACTGTTCCAACGACTTCTTATTCCCTCTTAAAAATAGAAGAGTATCATCTGCAAAAAGCAAATGAGAGATCAGAGCTACACCCCTGCCTGCATGAAAGCTCTTCACACTACTCTGTAAATACAATTTCTCCAAACCTCTACTCAAAACCTCCTCTGCCACGATAAAGAACCCTCTTGACGTTGGAAAAAAACCATTCAGTTGACCATTCACACAAACTGAAACAAACTGAGAATGCATGCAATTTCCAATAATGGACACAAACAATTCTGAAAAGCCAAAACTCCTCAAGGCTCTCAACAAAAAATCCCATTCAATTCTGTCGTATGCCTTCATCATGTCCAGCTTAAGGATCATATTATCTGCCTCTACTTTTCTGTCCAGCTCTCCCACCATAAACTGAGCTAGAGCTATACAATCCCCAATTCCTCTCCCTTTTACAAATCCATGTTGAGCTTCAGTAATTAAAGAAAGCAACAAAACAGCCAGTCGATTGGACAAAGTCTTAGTCAATACTTTGTACAAAAAATTGCACAAACTAATTGGCCTAAACTCTGTGAATGAAGTTGGATTTCCCACTTTTGGAATTAAAGCCAATAAAGTGGCATTCGCAGATCTGGGCACCACTCCTCCTTTCAAAAAGAAATTCACAGCTTCCAGAAGATCCATTTTTATCACATCCCAAGCCTCCTGGAAATTTTTTCCAGAAAATCCATCTGCCCCAGGGGCACTCTCCACAGACATAGCAAAAACCACCTCCTTTACCTCTGCCAAAGAAGCTTCTTCTGTCCGCCTTTCATTATCTGCGGGACTAACCAACATTGGAATAACACTAAACAGTTCCTCTGATCTATACAACTTAGCAAAAAAAGACACTGCATTGTCTGCTATTTCACTCTTTGATTCACACCAATCACCCTTCTCATTCTTAATCCTTCTAATTTTCCCCCTTACAGCTTTACTTTTGGCCACTGCATGGTAAAATTTTGTATTCCTCTCACCCTCAAGTGCCCATTTCATGTTAGCTTTTTGTCTCCAAAACAGATCCTCCAACCTTCGACAATCTTCCAAATTCGTCCTAGCAACTTCCAGGTTCAATACATTAGCTTCAGAATACTCAGAATCCACACATCTCTCAGCATTCTCCATAGCTAACTCCTGTTTTCTGATTTTTTCAAAAATATCCCCAAAAACCTCTTTATTTCACTTCCTTATTTTTACTTTAAGAAACTTCAACTTTAAAAAGAAGTTTTCAGTGGGATTTTTTGAGTAAAAACCTCCCCAATTATCAGACACTAGTGTCAAAAAAGATTCATCCTCAGCCCACATGTCTAAGAACTTAAAATAAGAAACTCTGTTTTGAGTCTCTGATTCCGAGATCTTGATTAACAAAGGACAGTGGTCTGAACTTCCCCTCGCCAAATGCACCACTTGAGAACTACTAAATTGAGCATCCCAGCCAGTATTAACAAATACCCTATCCAACCTTTGCCACATTCTTGAAGCGCCGTGATGCCCATTACACCAAGTAAAACTATTTCCCTCAAAACCACAATCAATTAACCCCTCACTCTGAATACACTTCTCAAACTCTTCCATAGCAACAATTGAGGGATAAGCTCCCCCCAAACGTTCAGAAGAATTCAAAACAATGTTAAAGTCTCCCAGAACTAACCAGGGCATTGAAAAAGAGGTGGAGACATACCTCAAATGCTGCCACAGTGATCTCCTCATCACACTCTCACAGCAAGCATACACAATAGTGACCAAACACGGATCAACACCCATATATGACACTGTCACAATCATAGCTTGCTCAAATTCTAAAACCACCTTTACTTCTACTCTCTCATCCCATAACAACCACATGTTTTTTCCAGCCAATGAATTTGCAACACAAGATTGCATACCAATAGCAAAAGCAAAAGTCCTCAATTTAACTGGATCCATTTTTGGCTCAATTACAGCCAACAAACATAATCTATTCATCACTACTAACTTCTTCAATCTACTTCTTGGGGCCTCTTTGCTTGCTCCCCTAATATTCCAAAAAATGAATTTCATAGTTGAGAAATAGAAGGATCATCACCTCTGTGATCGAGCCTGGGGCTAGACTCTACCGAATTCGCAATCACTTGATTTTCCAGATCATCCAACCCTGCCCCCATATCTTCTATCATTTGCACACTTCCTCATAGTTTTCTGACAACTCCGCCCAATCTTTTAAACTCTCTTGATCAGACATAAATCCTTTACCTGGGGGTACTCTGTTTCTCACCAGCCCCGAAATATCATCTAAAGAAAAATCCATCATCTTCCTTGCCTCATACTGACGATCAACAAGAAAAGAGGAATTAGAAGAAATAGAAACTTGTTTGTTCAAGCCACGTACTGAAAAATGCTCCTTCCCCACCTCAATCTCCATTTCTTTCAAATTACTCAAACTGAGCTCTCTATTTTCAGGAGAAGAAGAAGAAGACGCCTCAGAAATTCAAGGAGACTCCTTTCCTTTCTCACTCAGGTTAGATACAGAAAGCTTATTCTCTCCTTCCAAATCATCTAACCCTTCGCCTCCTCTCTTCTGATTACCAAAACTTTCTGACTCCTTGGTTTCTTCACATGAATCTGACCCATCCACCGCCTCCAATGCATGAATCTAACTAGGCCTCTGAATGGTCAAAGGCCTTGAATCAGAAACATCGAATACTGCCACCTTTTCAACAGCCCCTTCATTAATAGCACCCAGACTCTCCAAATTCCTCTGATCAGATTCAAGTCTCATCTGCCTATTTAAACCCCCCTGAAATTCAAACGAAGAAATTCCCTTCACCAAAAAAGACTGAGGCTCTGACAAAGAAACCCCTTTCTCCAAACCACCCTGTTTCTCCAAATCTGTATTCAAAACCCTAAACCCATCACCTCCATTATTCCCCCCAACCTCACCTGACCCTACACCTTCTCTTAATACATTGAACCTCCCTTCAGATATGAAGCCAGTACCCCTTTCACTACCAACCTGCTTGGAAGGATCTTTTACAGTTTTTGGATCAACAGAGATCTGAATTCTTTCCTGTTTATTCACAGCACCACCCCTTCCCTTAACAATCTTCCAACCCTTTTCAGTTTCTTTACCTTTCTCCATACGTTTCCCTGCTTCAGGCTTCAGATCATCAGCAAGAAGATAATCCCCCTCACCGTGCATATCATTTCCCACACTCTTCTTCTTCCAGTAAGAATCATCATCATGACCTTGTTTGAGACAGACTGTACAATACCTACAATCTTTCTCATATATGATACGTTGACACCTACCACTAACACCTTCCATGTCCAACCAAAATTGCCTTGGATTGTTAGCTAGCAAGTTCACTTCAACACAAACCCTAGCAACGCCAGGTCTGAACAATTGCAAAGTTGGAGAGTCAATCACCAAAATACGGCCAATAGGACTTAGTATATCCCTAAGACTCTCCTTATTAAACAAATGAATTGGAAGACCTGGTAAAGATACCGACATAGGCACCACTGGAGGTTCGATCCCCGGAATTTAACTTAGGGACCCACTTAAAAAATCAAAAGAGAAATCCATCAATGTACGTCGCATCCTTTAACTAAATCTTGACATAATCCTCATATAGACTAAATCTAATAAGGATATGTCGAGGATCCAAAATCCCTACAAAAAATTCCCCCTTAGGCATCTATCTGGTAGTAATAAACTCACGAATCACACCAAGCGAAGGCTTGCCATACACACACTTGCCAATCAAAGTTTGCTGGAATTTAGAAGACAAATCTAGAGTTTCTTCAGAGGTCTAATATTATTGTGATCGTGCAGCAATTATGGTGAATAATAAGGAATCAAACAATTAAAAAAACAAGAGAAAATAACACAGAGATTTACGTGGTTCGGCAATGTGCCTACATCCACAGGAGCGAACGACCGTTCTTTTTCATTATTCAAAGTAGGGTTATATCTTAAGTATTTTTTTAACCCTAGTACGGACGTATTTATAAAATACCCCTGTACCGTACCCTCTATTCCGCTACGTTCTGCCTGCTCCGGCATCTGCCTCCTTGCCTTTGTGCACACAACAAATATAAGTCACACATACTCTAACAATCTCCACCTTGGCAAATATTCACTCCTTAGGAGAAAAAAGAGAACATGTATCCAAGAACTCCACTAGGGACGCTAAGTTGGGGCATCTCCCATCTAGCAACTGGAGACATTAATCAAGTCCAAGCAGTGCTTGAACTTGTCTGTAGTAACAGGCTTTGTCAATATGTCTGCTGCATTCTCAGAAGTGTGAACTTTCTCAAGTAATAGTTCACCAGAAAAAACTAGCTCCCTGATCTTATGAAACCTCACATCTATGTGCTTGGTCCTCACATGATACATCTGGTTCTTTGCCAAATAAAAATGGCACTCTGACTGTCACAATGTAACTGAACTCCACCTTGTTGGGCACCCAGCTCCTTGACCAAACCTGTAAGCCACAAAGCCTCCTTGGTAGCCTCAGCTACTGCCATATACTCTGACTCAGTAGTAGATAGTGCAACTATAGGTTGTACCATAGACTTCCAACAAATAGGTCTTCCCACATGAGTAAACACATAACCTGTGGTAGACCTCTTGTCATCCAAGTCCCCTGCATAGTCTGCATCCACATATCCCACAACTGAAGGGTCACTCTGTTGTCTGCTAAACATGATGCCATAGTTTGTAGTGCCCCTCAAGTATCTGAAAATCCACTTGACTGCATCCCAATGCTGTTAACCCGGATTTGAAAGAAACTTGCTAACCACGCTGACAGCTTGTGTCAAATCTAGTTTTGTATAAACCATAGCATACATCAAACATCCCACTGCACTAGCATATGGGACCTTTGACATGTCATGAACTTCATCATCTGTCTTCGGGCACTGAGCGGTAGACAATCTGAAATGATTCGCCAAAGGTGTACTTACTGATTTTGCATAACTCATGCTGAACCTGTCCAACACCTTCTCAACATAGCTATGCTGAGATAGCCATAATCTNACAATCTAAAGTGATTCGCCAAAGGTGTACTTACTGGTTTTGCATAACTCATGCTGAACCTGTCCAACACCTTCTCAACATAGCTATGTTGAGATAGCCATAATCTCCTGGAACTTTTGTCCCTACGAATCTCCATCCCAAGAATCTTCTTAGCCGCACCTAAATCCTTCATGTCAAATTTTCTGCCCAGCAAAGTCTTCAACTTGTTGACCTCACTCATACTCTTGGCAGCAATCAACATATCATCCACATAAAGTAACAGAAAAATAAATGAATCATCATCAAGCCTTTTTACATAGACACAACAATCATACTCACACCTTTTGTAGCCAATTCGGATCATGTAAGAGTCAAATCGTTTGTACCACTGCCTCGGAGACTGCTTCAGCCCATAAAGTGATTTCTTTAAATTACAGACCTCCAGGGAGACTGAACCCTTCTAGTTGTACCATGTAAATTTGTTCCTCCAAGTCACCATGAAGGAAAGTTGTCTTTACATCCATCTGCTCTAACTGCATATCTGAATGTGCTACTAATGCCAACACTGTCTTGATGAAAGTGTGTTTGACCACGGGGGAGAAGATCTCATCATAGTCAACCCCTTTTCTCTGTGAGTAACCCTTTGCTACTAGACGAGCCTTGAATTTTTCTNACCACGGGGGAGAAGATCTCATCATAGTCAACCCCTTTTCTCTGTGAGTAACCCTTTGCTACTAGACGAGCCTTGAATTGTTTTTTCCTCCTTTTCTGATACCGCTTCTTTCTTCCTATACACCCATTTGCACCCTATCACTCTTTTTCCCTCAAGAAACTCCATCAACTCCCATGTCTAGTTCTTATGCAAAGATTTCATCTCCTCCACCATAGCACTTATCCATCTACTTTTCTCTTGGCTTTGTACTATCTCCTAAAAAGTTGTAGGATCCCCGCTACTAGTAATAAGCGCATAAGAAACCAAATCTTCAAAACCATATTTGGTAGGTGGCTTGATATTGCGTTTGGGCCTGTCTGTGGCTATACTGTGATGCTACTGATCACCTGAGATAGAACTCTCTACATGCTGAACATCCTCTTCTCTACCATGGTTCTCTAGCTCCACCTGCACCACATGCTCATTAGTGCTACAGTTTTCTAGCACTTGTTTCTCTTCTTCCTGAGTACGCTGCAACATGGCTTTTTCATCAAAAACCACATTTCTATTGACCACCATCTTGTTTGCCTTCGGATCCCAGATCTTGAAGCCTTTCACCCCTTTTTGATATCCCAGAAAGATACACTGTCTAGACTTCGCATCAAGCTTCGATCTCTCCTCACTAGAAACATGTACATAGGCTGGACATCCAACACTCTCAAACCAGAGTAGTCTACCTCACTGCCTGTCCACACCTCATTTGATACTTTCCATCTAGTGCTGTCCTCGGTGATCTATTAATCAAGAAACATGTCATATTCACTGCCTCTGCCCTGAAATTTTTTGCAAGCCCTGCATTCAACCTAAGACACCGAGCTTTCTCAACAATCGTTCTGTTTATCCTTTCTGCTATACCATTTTGTTGTGGTGTCTTGTAGACTGTAAAGTGTCTCTTGATCCCATGCTGCTCACACAACTCCTGGAACTTTGAATTTGTGTATTCAGTACCATTATCTGACCTGAGGCATTTAATCTTCCTCCCTGTTTGGTTCTCTACTTTAGCTTTCCACAGCTTGAACTTGGCAAATGCTTCGGACTTGTGCCGCATGAAGTACACCCAGACCTTTCGCGAGTAGTCATTAATGAAACTCATGAAATACATGTATTCTCCTCGTAATACTACGCTAACTGGTCCCCAAACATCTGTGTGGACATAGTCGAGAATTCCCTCTGTCTTGTGTGTGGCTGTCTTGAACTATACCCTGTTCTGTTTTTCAAGAACACAATATTTGCAAAAATTAAGCTTGCATGTCTTGACACCCTTCAATAAATTTTTCTTATGAAGCTCTATCATCCCACGCTCACTCATATAACCCAGTTGCATATGTCACAAGACTGTACTATCTAATTCAGACTCTACAGCAGCAACTCCACCTACAATCGTGGTACCCAACAGTCTGTAAATATTTTCTGCTATTTTCTGTCCCTTCATCAATGTCAGTATGCCTTTACTCACTTTCATTACTCCATTTATAGATTTATAACTATAACCATTACAATCTAAAGTGCCTAATGAAATCAAATTCTTCCTTAGATCCGTTACATGTCTAACATCACACAACGTTCTAACCACACCATCAAACATCTTAATTCTAATATTCCCTATTCCAACAACTTTGCAGGATGCATCGTTACCCATTAGAACATAATTAGAATTTATTGATCTGTAGGTGTCAAACCAATCTTTGTTAGGTGTCATGTGATAGGAACATGCTGAATCCATAATCTAGAAATCTGTTAGACGATCTGAACTTGATGAAACTGAAAGCATATCACCGTCACCGCTCTCTAAATCTTCTTCTTCCACTACGTTTGCAGACTTTGATGGACCCTCTTTGTCCTTTGAATCCCCTTTCTTTTACTCTGGACAGTCCCGATTAAAGTGTCCCTTTTTCCCGCACTTGTAACACGAGATGGAGACATCCTTCTTCTTCTTTCTCGACTTGGACCGGGCTTCATTGTTACCCGATCCATTTCGAGATTTGCTTCTTCCATGTTTCTGGTTACCTTTCACCACAAGCCCTTCACCTTGTGAAGCCTCATCACTGGCTTTCTTCCGCTGATGAAAACATAATAGAGCACCTGTGACATCTTCTAACTCGAGGGTTTCTTTCCCCCACATCAGAGTCGTAACCAAATTCTCGTACATAGGAGACACTGGCAGGGAATTCAGCAATATTAATGCCTTATCTTCGTCTTCGAACTTCACATCAACTTCCTTCAGATCGCTGATGATCTGATTGAACACGTTGATGTGTTGGGTTAGATCCGAGCCCTCTGACATCTTAAGACCATATAGTTTTTGCTTAAAATAGAGCTTGTTCGTCAACGACTTAGACATATAACGACTTTCCAGTTTCAACCAAACTTCCGTCGGTGATTCCTCATCCATGACATGATACATCACATCATCAGCCAGACAAAGCCTAATAGTCGCCACAGCCTTTGCTTCCAATTCTTTCCAATC